TGACCACGAGCCCTTTCCGCAGTGCTTACTGCGCGGTGGACCTATAACCAACATATCGTGTGTTCGATAGTCGGTTGGTGCATTACTTGAGGTTTGATATGACTGAATAATGGCGGTTATTGAGCCAGAAATGTCCGTTCCAGTCACCGTGGACCTTGTTGGTAATATCATACGGTCTTAGCCCTTAAACATATTTTTTCTATTTCTCTAATCACAACCCTTAAGTGTTATGCAAAGAACACTGGAAAAATGAGTGGAAGAATAAGACGAATGAAGGGTGGAAGGAGATGTGAGGAGGAGGAGGATGAGGAGGAGGAGGAGGAGAAGGAGAAGGCAATTGATGCTACTGCAACAAAAGCAAGTAATTCTGATCCCAGGTAGCAGAACATAGACGTCTGGATCAGTAGGGCGATGCTCGCTTTGAAAACACAAGCAACATCGCAGCCAGGGGCGTTGAGTCTTTGCCCAAGTTTCTTTTAAAAAAGAAATATAAAATATATAGGTCCTCAAATACAAAATGCCACGAACATGCTGAACACTCCGTTCACCCCAAAACCACTTTGATAGTACTTTTTCCCTCACTAATAGTTCGGATCTTGCGCTACTTGAATGCAACCTATACATCACCGGGTAATCCCGACCTATGCGATCAACTGGACATTCGATTAATCCGAAAACATACTAGTGCTCACCGGAAGGCGTTCTTGATTTCACTGACAAGTCAATGAGCTGGGCTGGCTCTCCTTTGTAAAATCGTAAATCGCCATTATCAATCAGCAATTTTGATGGGTAACTTTACTTGTAGGCCGTGGGTTAGTCAATTTTTTTCAGTTCGCAGCCAAGACAAAAACTCCCTTCAGTGAGCACTAACATTTGCTCAGAGTGTTATCCAGGAACTCCTATATTTGCAATTTTAAACATACGGTTAATCGTCATCCTAATGTCTAGAGGTAATCACCTCTGAGTTCAGTGTTAACATCGCCCATTATTAGCCCTGTACTGTATTGAGTTTAAAGGGTAACATTCTCTTTGACTGTTGTCTGCGCAGTGAACAATGACCCCGATGTTCTGTATTGATTTTCGGATTATATACAAACTGCTGTATTCTTTTTTTTTTCATCACCAACGTTACATAGAGACGTGTTGTAGTTTATTAACCGTCACGAAAATTGTTACAACCAATTACTCCTGTTGGGCACGCCTGTGTTAATTTAATTCCAGGAAGGAAATGCTTCAAACATCCTCTTTTTTCAACTTTCTTTTTCTCCATAAGCTTTTTTTGTGAGCTGTGGCCGCAATAAAGTTGCCTGCGTCAAGTAAACCTGCCTGGCTCCCAGAAAGTGGATGCCCGTTTTCCTGCGGGGTAGAGTAATTATTTTCACTTCATTGGAGCACAAAATTGCGCCACTGTTTCGTCCTACACAACACAAAAAACGATTTAGCCCTATTAGCCTTTCACTTCCGTTAAAGTTGGACACGCTCCGTAAAAAGGATTTATATGCCGATCGCACCGCAAACTGTATGCTGCAATGGCCACTGCAATTTTTCTACCAACTATCAGATTATTTCCGTCGCCGCATTTTTTTAAATAGAAGATAACTTAAAGTTTAATTTCGTTAGTAGTGGCCCAATGGACTATTTTTCAAGATCTATCTACCGTTTCCATCAATTAAAAAGTCTTTATTTGGGCGGATTTCAGAGGGGAGAAGAAACGACAATGCAACTGCCATTCTAATCTTCTGAATTCTAACTTCCAAAACATTTGCCACCAGCTAACGTATGGTACCCAGGTTAAAAATTTCCAATTACTGACACAGTACCTTAGGAGCTGGATAAGACGTCCCACAGCAAACAACGGTGGATTGAAAGGCTGCTTTCAAACTCAGATCGACTTTTTGTTAGGCATTTCGCAGCCTATTGTGTCCGAGTTTTGGAGTAAGCGGTCCGATCACTGTTCTTGAACTTCACGGTTAGACTGAAAAAGAGTTTTCTTAGCGCACTACATCTAGTACCGTGCGTCCCAGCACCTTTTTCGGGTTTCCTTCTGTGCACGAACTAACATTCTGGCATGTGCCTGGACAGGGTCTGCTATAACCGAAGTTGACCGCCGAGTTGCTAGTAAATCCGTACGCACCGAATTAAAAATTGTTTTTAATTCCTTTTTAAGCACCGCGGACGAGAAGATTCATGTAAAAGGCATCACTGAGAATTTCGATAATGCCCTCAGTAAAA